ACTGTACCACTACTACTACCACTACTACCACTAGTACCACTACTACCACTTCTACTATTAAAACTACAACTACAACTACAACTACAAGTACATCTACAACTACAACTACTACTACTACTCCTCCTCCTCCTCCTCCAGCTGCTGCTGCTGCTGCTGCTGCTGCTGCTGCTACGATGACGACTATGCTTGACCCCCGTGGTGCGACGCCCGTCGCGTTACATGTTCATGACGAGCATCCTGAACATTACCACCACGATCAACACTCATTCTTATGATGAAGATGACGATGAGGAGTCTAGTACCTACATGATGGGAAATATGAAGATGATTATAATGGTACCGATGGTGATGATGATGGTGGTGATGATCATGACGAAAACGACGTGAACCTGATTCAGTTAGTAACACTAAGCTCTTCAAGAGTATTCAAGAGTAGGAGCTCCACTCGGCTCGATGCAAAGTGCCATTATTAAGTATGGTTGGGAGCGCCGTAGACCACAGACGTCATTACGCTCTCACAACTCGGACATGCCAGGCGAGGTCAATGGTGCGTGGTCGGCGTGACAGACGTCATTAGGTTCTGGGCATGGGTGCTTTGTTCCCAAGTTGCACTAGACCATGAACGTCATTAGGCTTTGGGCATGGATGCTTTGATCCCAAATCGCACTAGACCATGGACGTCATCAGGTTTTGGGCATGGGTAGATAAAGATATAGACAAAGACATGGACATAGATATAGATATAGACACAGGTATAGATATAGATATAGACGTGGATGCGGATATAGAAATTCATATAGATAAGGATACGGACATGGATATAGATATAGACATGAGGTACAGATACAGCTATAGATATAGACATAGGTGTAGATGTGTGTATATATACACACACATACAAACGTGTGTGTGTGTGTATGTATGTATGTATGTATGTATGTATGTACGTATGTACGTATGTATGTATGTATGTATGTATGTATATACACACACACCCCTGTGTGCACCGATGCCTTTGCAACACCTCCGTGCACGTGCACACGAATGTTCTCGCAAATGCCGTTGCGATCTTCATCTCATGCTGGCTTTTTTATGTGGCAGCAGCTCACAAAGAAAAAACCAGACACATGTACACAGAGACAGGGACAGAGACGCGTTCTGACTCCGGCGTTACCACGCTGGAAAAGCCAAGTACGAAGTCCGATCCAAGGATCGTGGTGCTCGGGACCCAAGGTGCTTTGGAACCCGTCCAGTGCACGACGATAGTAGTACTCTGCATCTGCATACCTACAAGGCATCGCACGGCTACAAGAGCACGGCAGAGACCGGTGTTAAGCGCAACAAGTGGATGCTAATTGTGGCAAGCGCAGAGCAGCCCGCCCCCTTCGCAATTTACACATCTCGTGCGCAGAAACTAAGTCAGCACACTGGGCTTCTTCTACTAGGCATCGTGAACAGAGCTATTGAAGCATGGCGTGGTGCAATCTTCTTAAAAGCACTATATAGATGCGGTGACATTCATCCTCACATCCACCTAGCCTAACGGGCCAGCCACATGCTCCGATGTTTGTCATCTGGAACATGAACATGCTTGAAGGGCAACTGACATCACCACAGAGTGTGAGGTTGATGGGGCACATCTTCTTGGACTTCAGCAAGAAGGCGAGATTGTTCACCTGTGCGGATCTGAAAAAAGGCCTGATCCAGGCATTAACACACCTGCACAAAATATCTCGCTTGCTGCTCTTGCTTTGATTGTCAAAATCCCGACTGCCTAAGCCCTGCAATGCAGTCATTCCGTTGCTGCTGACACCAGCTGCACAAAAAGCGGTTGACTTTCACACGCTCGAGATCTCAAATTAAATTTACCTAAAACCCACAACACAGAGAAACAGAACACATAATCCCAAGCCTCCATATAGCCCTCCGAATCCACAGCATCTCCAAGAACCCCATACATCAAAGCCCAAACCCCTAAATCCATCGAAATCCAGGCACCGAGGTCAGTGTGTCGCGGTGCTCTCTGCCAAGGTGGCGCTCCCGGTTCCGAAGAGCACGCCGGCAGAGGGGCTCCTCGGGACCAGGCAACTGAGGGCCAAAAACGAAAGGGGATCGAGCAGCTGTGACCGAAGACCGCGGAGACCGTGGCACGGTGCAATATGCAAAGATGTGACGACTGAGTCTGGCGCACGTGTCTAAACCCCTCTCAGATCGAATTCTTGCCAAGCATCAGCTTCTTCATAGAGCTGCAGCGTCACCCTCGGAAACACGGGACAGTGCTTCCAAAAAATCTCCGAAGAAGCTACCACCAGCTTCACCTAAAATGCAGCCGAGGTGCAGCAAGCTGGCCTGGGAGCTGGGGGTAAGACAAACTAGAGAGCGGGCATACCGTGCCATCCATTCATGCATTTTTCTTCTCTTCCTTTGTGCAACATCATGAACAACATTCCTAATATGACACGCTTTGCCATGATGTTGATGGCACCTTTTGTTCATAATTACCGTTGTTCATATTGCTTCCTTGTGCTTGACTTGCCTGTGACTTATTACTAGTACTGGTATAATCACTACTAACATCAATGATGTGAGGACAATTGCTACTAGCTACTAATCGTATGGATTGCAGTTGTTGTTGTTGCTGCTGTGGTGAATGAAACACAAAGTCCAGTGATGGGGACACTGCTTGCTATCTTCTTCGTCATCATACCCCTTCCCCTTCATTCAGTCATTATGTTCTTCTTCCCCATCCTCCCTCCACAGAACAGCCAATCTCTCCATCTTCAAGCTTTCTCGCGTCATCCTCGTCGTCAACATCTTCTTGACCTCCATCATATGGCTCTGTGATCATGGTTGTTCTTCTTGTTGTTGATGATGTTGTGTCGTTGCTGTTGCTGAAGAAAGGCTATGTCCGACTGCCACTGAAACATAGACTACGAAAACAGATGAGGGGGTACTGCTTGCGATTGACGGCTTCAAGAGCATGAACACCTAAGGAGAGAAGGGGGACACTGCTTGCGATTGGAGGATTGGAAAAGGATTATCGCCAGCAGCTCCAATATTCACATTGTCTCGTTTCATTGTCGTCATCAACAACTTCATTACCCCCATCATATGACTCCGCGGCTGTGATTGGTTCTTGTTGTTCTTGTTGCTGTCGTGCTGTCGTTGTCATTGTTGTCGTCGTCGCTCTTGTTGTGTTGTTGCTTTTGCTGAAGAAAGAATACAACAACATGCGCGGACGACACCGCCTGTGACAGATCATACCCCATCCCCTTCCTTTGATCTCTATGACCTACCTCCCCATACTCCCCCAAGCAAAACTAACCTGTCAGGGTTATTTGACCTTGTATTCAAACTGACATCTGCCTTTGGCTCCAAAGAATCCATCATAGATTGATTTGTTGTCTCAAGAAGATTCTAATCTTGTATATCTATACATCTTGATTTAAAAAAAAATATATATATATATATACATATATATATACACACACACATATATATATAATCTTTATGATTTCAAGCGTTTGTTGACTTGTGGTCATATTACACTTTCTCCTGTGCTTACATAATTTAGACGTCCAAAATTTCTGTAGTCATCGAACAAAAGAATGGATGGAACAGGAAAATCGCGGTCTGAGTTTTCTCTTGTACATCCTACAAAATCCAAGGGAAAATTACAATCATGTAAACATTTCCTTTGTAGTTGTTCAATCTAGAATTTTATTGATAATTATGAATATATTTTCTGAACCTTTCGGAAAGGGTCCGATCGCTGTACAGTGCTGAAGCTATCGGGCTCATATTTATATATATATATGTATGTATATATATATATATATGTATATGTGTGTGTTTGTTTATATGTGTGTATACATATATATATACACACACATGTACACATACTGGCGGAATTCAAGAGAACGGGCAACATGCTTGCCCCAAAATTCTGGCGGGATTTAGAGTGCTTGAAGCCAGTGCATTGGAATTTCCAGTGAATCTGGCCTGCGGAGACGCGTGTCCAGCGTCACAACCCTGGCCACCGCGCCCGCTGACTAGCCGATTCCCAATTTTGGACCCCCATAGGTTTCAGGAACCAAGCTCTTCTACAAAGCCCCTCTTTCAACCCTGCTAAACAACCCCCTTCCAAGCAAGACTTTTCTTTAGACCCTTCTATACACTCTTCCCTAACTCCTTATATGAACCCTCTATAAATCCATCTACACAGCCCTTCCACAAAGCCATTCTCCTACAAAGCCCCTCTGCCAACTCTCTATAAGCAAGACTTTTCTGTGACCACGCACCTTTCCCTAATTCCTTCTATAAACCCTTCTATAAACCCGTCCAAACAGCCCTTCCACAAAGCCTTTTTCTCAAGCCCTGCACATATCCCTCCTTAAACCCTTCTAGAAGCCCTTCCACCGACTGCAATGCTTTCCCCATGTCCTGGCTAGCATGACTACGGAGCACAGCCAATTTTTTTTCTCATGTACTGGCGGGATTCACAGTTTTTTGCTCAAGTGTTGGTGGGACAACGATTTCCAATCCACAATCAATGCGGCCTCACATGCACAGCACCAGGACCCGCGGCTCCGGCAGAAGATGTCGCCAACGTATTGGAATTTACAGCAGGACACAAACATGCCGGCAATGCCGAGAATCCGAAAGGGCTGTCAGTTCCGAATTCGAATCGTCACGGCACCACACGCACAGAGCAATGTCACGATGCGCGGCGAGGCAACCTCAAGACAACCTCAAGGCCAACCTGCCTCACGAAACTCTAGGGGCCAACTCTCGCATACCTCACGTCGTGTCATGCACCCGCGTGACAGCCTAAGCGACAACCTTCCTTCAACATCATCACGTCATGCCATCCAAAGCATCTTGACGGGAGAACCCTTCGCCAAGCTTTCGGGAAACAAAGAAGGGATCGGATCTTGAAAACGAAAGCTGCAAGCCGAGCGGCCAGGTTGTTCATGCAGGTCAAAGTATGGGGGTGGTCTTCCCCCAACCTGCAGGCAAAGGGTCTGAAGGAAGGGAAGTGCAGGGTGCATGTCAGGTTTGCAGCATCACGACTGAAGCTGTGGCCGTGAAGTCCGGCCTCAGTTGCAAGCCCTTGTAGGCCATATACCTCAACAGGCTCTGGGGAAGCACAGCCGGGAATGTGGACACCAAGAACCCTGGAGTAAAGACGCCTCCACCTTCCAAAGGTCTGAACCACGCCGTCCCGATGGAGCTTTGCCCGTTTCTCTCTTGTCGAAGTTGCTGCATTTTCTTTGCATTCTGCATGTCCCCTTTGACCTCGAGGAGGCACGCCAAGCTGCCTGGATCGTGAGGCCAGACAGCCATGCCAAGGCGGAAGGAACTAGCAGGGAACCCGCGACATGCCAAGACTAAAGTCAGCTCTGGCGCTGAGGCTTCGCAGCGTGTCCGGGTTCTCCAGCCCCAGCCTCTTTTCTCCTTAATGGGCAGCCACGAGATCAAAGGTAATTTGCCCTCGTCCCGTAGAAACCTTCTACACCGTCGAATTGGCCGAGGAACTGCCCTCCACAACATGGCGGTAGAGCTTCTCCGCCTCTTCGGAGTTGTTTCCCAGCAAGACCTAAGACAAGCTGAGCGGCTCGTAACCATCTGCGTTTCTCGCTTGACTGCATGCTGTCTTCTCAGAGACCCCGCTCACCAGGAGCCCGAGCCTTCATTCACATGATTTTATCACCCCAACCCTCCAAAGTCAGAACTGATCCCGATCCGGGTCCCAGTTTCAAGCCCCACATTTCTCTCGGGCCGTCTCAGGCAACCCTCTGAACCTCATGCTCCACAAGGCAGGTAGCGGCCAAGTTGTGCTCGTAGGTTAGCGTGTCTGGATGATCCAGGCCTGGGCAGAAATCCCACCGGTTCTTGCTTGTTCTGGCATTGCAGTGGACTGTCCTTATGCTGTTCGCAACATCCGCTGGTTCGCTGGTCGAGGTTTCCCAGGGTCCGTTCAGGATGTCGAAATTCTCCCCCGACCGAGACACCTCGTCCTAGCTCCTGTGCAACGGCACTTTGCCGTCCTGTCCGCCAGCTAACTAGGACTCAGAAATTGCTGTTACAAGCACGTAAAGCCATAGGGCCTCAGGCTCGGAGCCCTTCTGCTCTGGGCTCCTGGCCGAGACGGGACGTGGCACCGGCACGCGCCTAGCCGGAGTTGAGAAGCTGTGAGAGGTCATCTGACGCAGCAATTTTGCACGAGCTCATGGAACGGCTATGCTGTCAAAAAATCAGAACTACTCCTTGCACCACTCCCAGTCTTACACAAGTCATCCTTTTTACACCTGGGCTATGCATATGCCGTCATCCTGCAATGGCAACCCACATCAAGCATGAGAACCAAGGCACCTCGCGATAGAGCTGCTCCGCCTGTCGTTGGATGCTTGACCCACAATTTGATTGAAGTATACCACTATAGCTACAGCCGTAACTGTACTACTATAACTGCAACTACAACTATAACTGCAACTGTCACTGCATAACTGCAACTGTATAACTATGAATGCATTTATAATTACAACAGAAACTGCAACTTTAAGTCTAGTTACCCGATAATACAGTGTACCAAATACAAACCAACTGTGTTGCAATGCGTTGTCCTTGTATTGTGCTATCTGAAGATGTTTTAAATCATATCATCAAAGGCATCATACACTATACTCTTTCTATTTTTTGCATTTATTTATACTATATTCGATCATGCCATTTAATTTAATATAATGCAATATAATAGAACAGAACAGAATATAGCATAGTATAGCATAGTATAGTGTAACAGAGTAGAACAATCCTGTGTTGTCTTATCTTACCTTATCTAAACTTAACTTACATTATGCTATATTATATTGTTTTTTGCTACATTCTATCATACTATCTTACACTATATTATGTTGTACTATATGTCTTTACATATTTTACGCTAGGTTTATGTTACATGATGTTGTAGTATATGATATTAAATCACCTCATTTCATTCTATCTTCTTGCTTTATAGAAAGCTATGTCGTGCCACAGTATGTGCTGCTATTTCTTATTATGTGATATTTTGACTATAATATGTGCTGTGCTGGTTGTATATATACTGTCCTAAAACTTATGTGTGGATATTCTTATAATATGTTGTAAAAGAATATGTTGTAAGTAGTAGTAGTAGTAGTAGTAGTAGTAGTTGAATAATATCGCGGAATGCTCACCTCACCCAGCAATGTTCTGTAAGATGTTGTCGGTGCCCAATTATGGTATTGACACTCGTCTCCCTGGCAGGCAAACTCGGCAACCTTTTCTCGCGCTCAGGCACTGAGTCCGATGTTGTCTGTGCAGAGGGGGACACACACACGATGTATGGCTTGGAGGATCTATGAATATCAGCTAAACTCCGAAGACTCAATTCCTTGAGCTTTCAGCTCAATTCCCTTGAGCCAAACGATTGCCGGTTTATGAGCTCAACGGACTGGGAGACATGAACTTGGGATTTGACCTGGTCACGCAAGGTGGCCCAAGTTCGGCTCCCGCTTGGTAGCACAAGGCTGCCCAAGCTTTGACATATATGCAGTACAACATAGCTCGAGATACGATGCCCAGAAATGTACCAGGCTTCGAGGTCTCTTCGCAGTAGTAGTAGTAGTAGTAGTAATAGTAGCTAGCAGTTAGCAGTTAGAAGTAGTAGTAGTAGTAGTAGTAGTAGTGGAAGTAGAAGTAGTAGTAGTAGTAGTAGTAGCAGTAGTAGTAGTAGCAGTAGTAGTAGTAGTAGTAGCAGTAGTAGTAGTAGTAGTAGTGGTAGTGGTAGCGGTAGTAGTGGTGGTGGTGGTGGTGGTGACGGTGGTGGTCGTGTATAATAAATAATGTATATGTTTTGATTATACACTGTAAATTACATTACTGTATACTATGATATGTTATGTACTGTATACTATAAAATATGCAGTATATAGTATACGCATATTTTGGAGTATGTAGTATATTGGGCATTGCTATACCTTCCCCCCGTCCTCTGGATTTGCCCGCTGTCCTGCAAAACCCCAAACCAGTTGACGATTTCACGGTACAATTTCCCCCAAATGCTTGGGCCATTTCACTGATTCACCATTTCACCGTTCACTCAACCCAGATAGTTGGGCCCCCTCACCATTTCACAAATGCACCGTTTCATCCTTCATTTCCAGCATGTGGTCAAGCCATTTCACCATTCATTTCCGCCATCTGGTCGGGTCATTTCACCATTTTACCACTAATGTACCTCTCATATGGTCACGCTCCTCAATTTCATAGGGCCAAACTAATTGGTCAAATGGTTTATGGGCTTAGACATAGGGCCAAGCTAATTGGTGAAATGGTGACGCGGTGAGATGGTTGGGGCTTAGACATATTGATGAAATGGTTTCTCGGCTTCGACATAGGGCCAAACTAATTGGTGAATTGGTGAAACGGTGAATTGGTGAAAATGTGAACTAATGAAATGGTGCAATGGTTTCGGGTGCGACACCACCCCATGTGGTTAGCCCTCCTCACCTCACAGGACCAAGCTAATTGGTGAAAAAGCGAAACGGTGAAATGAAGGGTTTGAGTACCATGGTACGTTCAGGCTGACTGATGACATGGTCAAAACATCTGTTGGTTTGACGGTTTCGGACCCGACCCGTCAAGTTGGCAAACTGCATGTTTGAAGGTTGGATCAGCCAGGGTTTGTTTTGCCTTCTGCATGGCTGAACGAGTCACGAAGCAAGGTTGCAGAAAGATACCAGTGAACTCGTCCAACCATGATGGTGTAGACTTTCCAGCTGACTTCGAGCAGTCATGCCCCAGGCTTACAAACCAAGGTTGTGCTTTACGAACTTGCGGGGGCTTCATTGTCCCGTTGCACAATAAACCTTACGAGAGAAATCTGTTTCATCAGTACTTCATGAACACCCAAATCCAAAATTTCGTGAGTTTGGGTAATTCAAGACCAAAGTTTAGGCAATGAGACGCTGAGCAGGGACTAGGAGAATGGATGGTCCTAGGTAGCCGTCAAATATTCGGTGTTTCCAGGAATGGCACAGTGTTTTTAAAGAAAGATAATTCGCAAATTCCCGGTACCATATGCATATTCCAGCGACTGTAGCGGACAGGCCATGCGGCAGCATCAAGATAATTGGTCTGACCATTCCAGCACATGGGGCTTATAAGCGCAAAGCAAATCTATGTACACATTTGGCGAATAGGCGCTTACATGTCACTCACCAAGAATATCCAAGCATCATAGTGTGGAATATGACGTGGCTCTTATCGGGGTTTAAGTAGGTCCGGAGGTGTTGCCAACATTGGAATATCAAGGTACACAGAAAGCTGAGATACGACTGGCAAAACCTGATGGTAAGAAGAAGCGGTGTTTTGCAGTTGACAACTTGGTTAGGCTTCATCGCTCGGTACATAAACGAATTGCAGCGTTTTTTTTTTTCCAAACATCATTCCAAGGAAGCAAGATTTCCATGAGATAAGCCTGACAAGAATGCATGTCGTGAGCAAGCCTTATTTTGCAGCTTACACTCTGCTAGATTTCCTCACTCGGTACACAGCAAAACCTCTGGCAACACTATTTCCAGTTACATGGGGATGAACTACGAAACTCCTTCGAGGAGTGAGACGGGCATTTTTCAAGCAATATCACAGATGTTGAAACGCCATGACACATGGTAGTTTATTGCTGGCATAGGCAAGGTTGCAAGGATTAGAACAGGATGATCAATCTAGCCAATTGGCTTTGCAAGAGCACATGGTACTTATGAATATGTAACGTAATATGTATAAACAGATCAACGGGTGAATTCTGTCAAACATTTGCCGTGTCTTACCACCTTTTCTCAAATACGAGAAATCATGTTCTGACCGATGGCTTCTAGTAGGGCACCAGTAATGAATCCAAACATAAATGTTGCAGGGCATGGGAATAGCAAGCTCAACAGAACATGCACGAGGTAAAGCTGGTATGAACTCATTGTAAGGACAAGCAGTATATTGAATCCTAACGACTCGTTATGCTGTCAAGCCAGAAGAGAGGGCCCATGGTTTGCAGCTGGCTCTATGAGATGGTTCCGGTATGCTGATACATGAAGCAATGGTTTTATCACCCGGTATATAGAAACATTGTCAACAGCATGCGGACTATATTGTCCTAAGAAGCGACAGTTGATGATGTCCGCCAGGAGAAAAAAGATACAGCGATTCCTAAACGTTTAACAAGCAAGTTTTGAATGGCACAATCATTTTAAGGAATTAAGGAATGCAGCACCCAAATGCCCAAAGAAACTGAATGCACGTGCTTTTAAAAGCATAGGGAATTAGGGATATGTTATCAAGAGCTGTATGTAGCCGAAGCCCCGAATGATTAGAAAAACAGAGACGCTTTGGGGATTGCGGCGTTACAATACAAATGGAAAACTGATATGTAAATATATAAACTAGTACTCATAATGTTGCTTGAGCCCTATTTAAGTATGGATTGTGAGAATGATGCGTACAAGTAGTCTGGATATGAAACACTGGGCCGCTCCTTCAACATTTCTTTCGCCTTTTCCCCGATTGGGCATGGAAACTCCGATTGAGCATTCGGTCCCCAGACTCGGTTTGCAGGGATGGTGAGGAACACAACGAGAACACTGGCTTCGTGGGGGATGCTTCGCGGGGGATGATACGCATTGGAGCGAGCAGCGTGAGAAGCATCCATAATCATCCATCGAGACTTAGATACCGAGTATCGATGTTGGGTCTGATTTGGAGCCACAACAAATGCAAATTCACGGTGATGTTTGTGCTTCGGTCCGGAATTAAAGGTTTACAAACTTTGCCTGGGTGTAAAGACTTTGCATGGGATCCAAAACCAGTTGCTGGTTCCACAACAGTAGACAAACTCAGAAATGCAAGTAGAGAAACACTACGCTGCAAATCAATACACACATATATATTTGTTTATTTATTTAGATATAGTTTTATCTACATATATGCATCTATACTTGTCTATGTCTGTATGTATGTATGCATGTATGTATGTATGTACGTATGTATGTGCATGTGTATGTATATATATATATACATTGCATATATGTAAAATGTTTTAGAGATGTTGTACCTTATGCTAAAAAATACATGTGTATATATATATACACATACATATACACATATACATACATACATACATACATACATACATACATACATACATACATACATACATATATATATATGTACATATAAAGATATATGTGTACATATATATACATATATATATATATATGTATTTTCATGTATATTTTTATTCTTCTTTTTCTTTTTACTTATCGATTTATTGTCTTCAGTACGCGAAACGTACTGTGCTCTGTATAAAAAAAATTCGGCATTAACATTGTATTGTACACCACTGTGTATTTTGCAGTGTATATACACACGATGTCGACAAAATACTATCTGTAGTAGATTATATGCTATAAAAAAAGTTTACAGGTTGTATATTTTACATCTTACATGTTCATATAATATTTGAATTATGTATAACATACCAGACTGGACGTAATTTGTAGTAGATGTGGTGTTTTAGATATTTTACATGCTACATTGTATCTTATATCGTGTGCTCACGTTATATGTACGGCGAGCATACCTCATACGTACCTACCTACCTGCATACATACATACATACGTACATATCGACCATCGGAAGGCTAAGCAGGCGTGCAGCGACCCGAGGGTGAGCCAAACAAATCTTGCTTACATCAAAGCTGTTCCAGCGATCAAATCGGTGCCCAATTGGAAAGAAATCCCAGTGTCGTTTCGAGGCTGCAACCTTGATATTCTGCAAGAAAGATGGCTCAATTGGGCCTTCTGGGAGTCGAAGCGGGTCTTGTCGTCGCGATCTTTTAAGACAAGTGCAAGGTTGTTCTTGCAGCCTCGGCTCAAGAAAATGTCTGCCATTAAGAATAAGATTCTGCTCTCTCCAGGGCCGGGCGCTCTCCATCTCACTTCTTCGTCCTCGGGCGGGCCACTACCAAATAGGCCAGGGCACGGAAAATTTCTGGATGGTCTTCTCCATGCAGTGTCTCGGATAAAGCACGGGAAGCGGTGGAACCCGCTTGTTCGAGAAGAAACCAGAAACCGCTGCTGGACATCTAAGCCTACACAGGCTGAAAGATAGACGATGTCCAACAGTTTGATGGTTCAAGGACTCTATCAGGAACACGTACAAATTGTTGCACAATCTGGACTTGATGCCGAGGCTTTGTAAATGTTCCTCCACGATCGTTCGGGGTGGGTGCAGAATTATGCAGCAGGGAAAGTTCTACTGAGAACCAGTCTTCTTTGTGCTCAGTCGCTCGGCGGCCTGACAACGCACGTTCGTGCAGCGCCTGTGCCTGCGCTTTGGACAGGCTTCAGATTCCATGACGGCCTTCTGCCGGCATCAGCATTTGGGGGGCTGAAGACGGAGCTTTGCCTGAATCCTGAAAGGTCTGGCCCTGCCAGAAACACAAAAGGCAAACGGTGCCATGGCAAGAGGTTCGTTCTCAAAGGATCTTCGCTTGATTCGAGGGCTCCGGGCAACAGGGCTGGTCCATAGTAACACCTCCGGACTCGACCAAATTTCGGCCTCCTCGAAGCTGCCCTTCAGCCTGCCCATTAAGCCGGGAAGGAAGTGCGCTGTGCGGCAATTCGGATGGGTCTTGGGATGCTTGAACTTCTCTAGATTCATGTGATCTTAGATTGTCTCCTCGTCATACCTTAAACTATCAAAAAATATGCTGCCGTTTGTGGAAAATCTCTGTTTACGTTAATGATATGAAGTTTTCTCCACCGGTTACCCTCTTACTGTTACTGCTTCATCCTTCTCTTGATGCGAATTCTGCTGCGACTGCTGAGTGCTCTCTTGCTTTCGTTAAGCATGAATTCTTGTGTTGACATCATTGAATGCGACCAGCAGAACTAGCGCTGCGAAAACTGTTCTGCCACTGCTGGCTCAGCGCCAGAATGTGTTTCAGCAACTGCGATCTGCTGATTTCGTCGCAAGCAACTCGTGGCTTCCCTCGCCACAGCTAGCAGTACCAAGACCACAAAACAAAAACGACAAAGACTACAACAACGACAGCGACAAAAATCGCTCCTGCTTCTGCTGCTCGAAGCGTCAGCTACTTATGTGTAGTAGCGAAAAACCTACCAGTACCACCACCGCTCTGCTGCTGCTGCTGCTACT